CTCTGTCTATAACCTGTTCCAAACTTCAAGATGCTCAGTTACCTGAGGACCAATCGTACAGTTTTTATGCAGACAAAAATACCTCTTATTTATAACTAATCACAAGTCCACACATCAATGTCTTGTCAGCAGAAGGTGCACCTGTGTACCCCCTTGGCTGTAAATGATCTGCAAGTCAAGCTTGAATTGGTACTTTTTTACACAATGGTGTCAGGGTACTGACGTTTCAAAACTCTTTCAAACAGCCTTTTCTCAGTTCAGTCCAGAACTTAAAAAAAAAACACTTAATAAAAAGATGCATTCCTTACAAAGGCACTGTCTGAAAATGTGGTGGAGACATGTTCAATTGAAGCATTCAATAGGAACATATGAGCAGAAGAAGGCTGCTCTGCCAATCAATAAGTTCATGGCTGATCTGTCGCCTAATTCCATATGCCTGCTTTGAGCCCATATCCCTTGTTAACCTTGCTAAATAAAAATTTGTCTCTCAGATTTAAATATAACAAATAAATTAGCATTTTTAAGGAAAATTTAAGGAAGACAGCTCCAGACCTCCACTACTGTTTGCATGCAGAAGTGTTTGCTAACATACCCCCTGATATGGCCCTAATTTTTAGAACATGCCCCCTAGTTCTAGAATAGAATCCCCAAACAGTGGAAATTGTTTATCTACCCTGACTTCCCCATTAATATCCACAGCTTTGCCCATTCATCTAAACTATCAATATCCTGTTGCAATTTCATGTTGTCATCTATGCTGCCCAATTTTGTGTCTTCAATTTGATCACCCCTCAACCTCCTAAACCTACAGAATAAAGGCCTAATTTGTCTAATCTTTCCTCATAACTTAACCCCCTCAACCAGTTTCCTATACATGTCAGTAATTTGCCCTCAATTCCATCGGCTTCCACCTTAATTAACGGTATCATTCTTTGTATACCTCATTGAACTCCCTCCAGAGCCAAAATATGCTTCCGAAGTATGGTATCCAGATCTGCTCAGAGTACTCTAAGAGGGTTCCAACTGGGGTTTTGTAAAACTGCAGCATAACATCTGTATCCCTATCCTCTAAACTTTTAGATATAAGGGCCAGCAATCCATTAGCCTTCTTGATTTTTTTTTGTACTTGTTTGAGACATTTTAAAGAGCTATGCACCCAAACCCCCAAATCTCATTGGACATCCATTTTTAACTTTTGTATTTAACTTTGTGCCTTCTGAAAATACTCTGATCTACCCTTTTTCAGTCCAAAATGAATAACCTCACACTTGTGCATATTAAAATCCGTCTGCCACAGCTTTGCCCATTCATCTAACCTATCAATATCCTGTTGCAATTTTATGTTGTTGCCTACGCTGTTTACAATGCTGCCCAATTTTGTGTCTTTAGCAAATCTGGATATTTGACTTTTTATGACATTATCCAAGTCATTAGTGAATATTATGATTAATTGAGGTGAACACAGATCTCTGCAGGACACCACTAGTCACGTCCTGCCAATTTGAGTACTTACTCTTTATTCCAACTGTTTCCTGCCACTCAGCCAATTTCCTATCCACGTCAGTAATTTGCCCTCAATTCCATAGGCTTCCACTTTAACTAACAGTCACTTACATGAGAGTTTATCAAAAGCCTCTGGAAGTCTATGGAAACAACATCCATCAGCTTGCCTCTGTCCACCACCTTTGTCACCTCTTCAAAAAACTATGAGGTTTGTCAGGCATGATCTACTCTTCGTGAATCCATGTTGACTCTCCATGACCGACTGAAATTTTTCAAGGTTATCTTGAGTATAGTCTCTAATAATTTTCACAGCACAAATCTCAGGCTAATTGGTCTGTAATTCCCTAGTTTTCATCTGTTACCCTTCTTAAAGAGCAGGAGAGACATGTGCAAATTTCAAATCTAAGGTACAACTCCTGATTACAGGGAACTCTGAAAGATTATGGTTGGAGCATTGCCAATGCACTCTCCTACCTCCTTTAACACCTGTGGATGGAAATCATCAGGTCCTGGGAACTATTTACAAGATGCACTGCAGAAAAGCCACTGGATTATTATATGGATAAAATTGTGCAAGGTTATGAGAAAAAAATCAGGAGTTTGGCACTAGATAATGATGCTCATTTGACGAGCTAGTACAGGCACATGGGCTGAATGGCCACCTGCATTGTAACACAAGTGTGATTCTGTGATTTGATGCAGGTAAACCCACAATGCTGTTAGAGATGGAGTTCCAGGGTTTTGAACCAGCAACACTTAAGGAACAATTGATATATTTCCAAGTCAGGATGGTGAGTGGCTTGAGTTTGGAGAACTTGGAGGTGGTGGTGCTCCCATATATCTACAATACTTGCCCTTCTAGATGGTTGTGGCCATTTGTTTGGAAGGTGCTGTCTATAGAGACTTAGCCAATTTCTGCAGTAAACAATACATATATTGCTGACACTACTACTGAGCATCGATGATGATGGAAATTAATGTTTGCTGATGTGGTGCCAATCAAGTGACCTACTTTGGAATGGATAGTGCCAAGTTTCTAGAGCGTTGTTGGAGCTGCACTTATCCAGGCAAGTGGGAAGTGTTCCATCACACTCCTGACTTGTGCGATGTGGATGGTAGACAGGCTTTGGGAGTCAAAAGATGTGTTATTTGCTGCATGATTCTCAATCTCTGACCTGCTTTTGTAGCCACAGTACGCATAGTGAGGCCAGTTCAGTTTCTGGTCAACGTAACTGCTAGAATGTTGATAGTGGGGAATTCAGTGATGGTAATGTCATTGAATGTCAAGGGGTGGGGGGGTTGCTGCTTCGATTCCTTCTCTTTGAAGATGGACATTGCCTAGCACATGAGTAGCATGAATGTCATGTGCCACTTGTTAGTGTTTCACCAGGCTTGATCACTGTGTAAAGCCCCTGTTACACATCTCACATACAAATGGTTTTTTTCCCAGTATGAATATGCAGGTGGCTCACAAGTGTCAATGACTTTGCAAAATCTCGCTCACAGACATCACACTTGAATTGTCTCCCTTTCATGGAAATGCCTTTAATAGTGTTTGGAAGGGGATTTCTGAAGCCTAAGGAGCCCTCTTTACACAATTCACTGTTGAACAATCTCTCACCAATGAGAATGAGTCAGTGGTTCATGAGGCTTGATGAATGATTGAGGGTCTGTCCACACTTGGAGTCACTCACACTTCTTCCCAGCCTCACCCTGACCGATCACCCACAGCTGAACCTTCAGAAAGGTTGGTTCTGATGGAAGGCTCCACACCACTCACCAGTTTCAGATCTGATGATATGTCCAAGTTTTCCTGACCCGACTGATTTCCACCTGATGGTTTCACTGCCCAACCTTCTCTGTGTTCAGCAATGCTGTGAAGGGACTGGATGTCTTCCCACAGTTGTGCAGTTGTTTATTGAGTGATGGTCAGGATCTATCTGTAGTGTCTATCCTCTCTGTACTCTATTGTAGTGACCAGAAACATGATCTCCTCCAAAGCCTTCTCCTCCTTTGCTGAAGGGGCTGACTCCTCAGTTACAGACTGTTCCACAGTAATTGCCAGTCTGATTTTCTTCTGTGTGGGAGGGGATCAGACACAAGTCCTTTATTTTTCCTCACTTGACTCACATGCCCTCTATTTCCAGCAGGGAGACTGGATAGTGACCAGGAGCAGATAATATGGAGACCCAGGGTGGCATGGAGACCCAGGGTGGCACGGTGGTTCAGTGGTTAGCACTGTTGCCTCACAATGCCAGAGACACGGGTTTGATTCCAGACTTGGGTCACTGTGGCATTTGTACGTTCTCCCCATGTCTGCGTGGGTTTGCACCAGGTGCATCGGTTCCTCCCACAGTCCAAAGATGTGCAGGTTAGATGGATTGGCCATGCTAAATTGCCCCAGTGGTGTCCAGGTATGTGCAGGCGAGATGGGTTAGCTATGCTAAATGCTAGGTTATGGGAATAGGGGCGGGCACTGGATCCATTTGGATCCTCTTTTGAGGGTTGGTGCAGATGGCCTCTTTCTATTCTGTAGGGATTCTGTGATATTTCTTTCCTCTACTCAGACCACCATTTTACCTAACATTGTGAGGGCAACAGGAAAGACAGTTGGATGGATGAACAATGAGCTTGACTTGTGTTGCCTTGAATGAGTTTTCCACTGAGATTTTCAGATTCATGATTCAGATTCAGAACTGGGAAAAGAGGGGGCTCCAGGCACAGTGCATCTAGTGGTGGGAGGGTACACTGCAGCAAAGTCTCATTGAGGAATAACAGGGATTTTCAGATGATCAATGGTTGTCCGACCCACTTTTCTCCATCAGTTTCACTTTTCCTTACCTCAGAGACTTTACCACCTTTCACAGTTTCAGGAACCCAGACACAAAGGCAACACTGACACGTGCAGTCTAACTAGTTACCATTTTAAATCAAATCAAACTTTCAGGCTGCCTATTTATACAGGAAATAGTATTCTGTAAATAACCTTGGAGCAGAACTACAAGAAAACTGTTATAAGTCATCATTGACTCTGGGTTTGTTTTACTCTTGTGTGTGAGTCAGACAAGTTGTATGTTCACATCTCACTCCAGAGACTTGAACACTGAGGCTGCACTGAGGGAGTCCTGCACTGACAGATACCATTTTTCAGTTCGGTTAAAGCAAAGGTGTTGTTATCTGCTTAAATGCATGTAAAAGATCCCAATGACTTAATGTTGTAGAAGAGCAGGGCAGAGAGTAATGTGGGTCCTATAAACAATGTCAATAAAAGAGATTATCTGATAATTATCACACTGCTTTCAGATACCCTGAAACCCGAAAAGGTGGTGCACACACAAGTCACACTTCCTTGGGAAAATGTAATGCCTTCTGTGAACTGAAAATAATTAACCCATTGATGGAGAAGGTATCCCAGCTCACAGAGACATTGATCAGTATATTTACAGGACACTTACAGTAGAATCCTGAGTATTTCACTATGCTGACAAGTCATGTCATTAGGGATAGATAAAGAAATTAATTTATTGGGAGTTATGAATCTATATCAAAGATTGCCAAAACACAAACAACCCAATAGTCAGCTTACATCAGACTTTGAACAAATCAAAATGACATATCACACCATTATTACACCAAGATATCATAGGCTGAAGGAACTCAGGTCTGTAGAGACTCACCCCCGCTCCCTCTTTCCCCGACAAATAACCTGATCTCAGTGTGTCACACAGGAATACAGTGGAGTTGCTTCACAATGTTTTGAATGTGATTTCAAACAATGCTCTATTCATTCAGACACACTCAACAAGGGCTGAAAGTGCTATCCGACAGTCATTATCAAGGTTTCAATATAATCCACGTCCTACAGCAGATTTTTACATAGATATAAAGAACAAAGAACAATGCAGCACAGGAACAGGCCCTCCAAGCCTGCACCTACACATTTTGCCCTTCCATACTAAAACTGTCTTCACCTACAGGACGCATATCCCTCCATTCCCTTCCTATTCATGTATTCGTCCAGGTGCTTCTTGATGCTTCTATTGTGTCTGCTTCCACCACCTCCTCCAGCAGCGCGTTCCAGGCATTCACCACCCTTTGTGTGAAAAACTTGCCTTGCACATCTCTTAAACTTCTCCCCCAACTGCATTGTGTTGAACCTGTGTCCCCTAGTAATTGGCCCCTCCACCGTGGGAAAAAGCCTCATACTTTTCACTCTATCCATGCCGCTCACAATCTTATAAACTTGTATCAGGGGTGCCCGCCTGCATTCCAGTGGAAACAAACCCAGTCTACCCAACCTTGCTTCATAGCTAAAATTGCCCAGGGCAGGTAACATCCTGATAAACATATATCAACACTGAAATGAAAACCCAGTCTTTCTCATGCAATTTTTGATCACACCAATTGTTAATCATAATTCAGTCAAGGTTCATTCATTACATTTACAGTCACCTGTTTCATTGATATTAAAATGGCTTTCTTGATGTGGTTAGTAAATGACATGAACGAAGTATGGAACTGGTTGTTGGACTAAAATCTAATACCTCCAGGCCTACACATCACACTGGAAGGGTTTGTCTCCCATAATGGTTCACTGATGTTCCAGGAGGTCTGGCAACTGTGTGAAAGCTTTTCTCTAGAATTTAAACTGAGAGGGTTACTCCATTTGTGAGTGTGTTGATGGATCCGGAGATACAAAGTGACTGTGTGAAAACCTTGTCATACACTTCACACCCAAATGGTTTCTCTCTGTGGATGCGCTGGTACATTCGGAGATCAGGAGAGTGGGTGAAAGTCTTGTCATAATATTGAATATGAACAATTACTCCGTTGTGTGGATTCTCTTGTGTCGCAGGAAGCCCAATGATGTTAAGAATGACTTGTAACAAACCTCACACTGGAATGGTTTCTCCCTTGTGTGAATACGTTCATGTTTGCGGAGATCTGATGAATGTGAGAATGATTTCTCACAAACATCGCACGTAAATGGTCTCTCCCCCGTGTGTATCCTCTGATGGACCCGGAGCTGCGTTGACTGTGTAAATGATTTGTTGCATGTCTTACACTTGAATGGTTTCTCCCCTGTGTGAATGCGTTGGTGTACACGGAGATTTAACAATGTTGAGAACGAATTCTTACACATTAAGCACCTGAATGGTTTCTCCCCTGTATGAATGCGTTCATGTTTACGGAGATCAGACACTGAAGAAAATGATCTGTCACACACCTCACATGTGAATGGTTTCTCCCCAGTGTGAATACGTTGGTGTTTACGGAGATCTGATGGTGATAAGAACAATTTGTTGCACTGCTCACACCTGAATGGTTTCTCCCCTGTGTGAACATGTTGGTGTGCGCGGAGGTGTGATAATGTATAGAATGATTTGTCACACCCATCACATGTGAATGGTTTCTCTGCTGCATGAATGCGTTGGTGTGCACGGAGGTATTGTAATGTCAAGAGTGATTTATCGCACACCTCACATGTAAATGGTTTATCTCCTATGTGAACACGTTGGTGCATATGGAGGTTTGTTAATGTTGAGAGTGATTTGTTGCACACCTCACATGTGAATGGTTTCTCCACTATGTGAATGGACCGGTGTTTTACCAGGCCTGATACTTGTGCAAAGCCCTTTTTGCACACCTCACATTCAAACGGCTTCTCTCCTGTGTGGACACGTCGATGAGTTTCAAATTTGGATGGATGTGCGAGGCTCGATCACACACCTCACACTTAATTGGTTTATCTCCCATGTAGCCGCTCTTGCGTTAACAGATGCACCTTGAGAGACAGGATACCTTAAAGAGCTCTGCTCACATACCTCACACTTGAATGGCTTCTTCCCTGTAGGAATGAGTCAGCGGTTCACGAGTCTTGATGAATGATTGAAGCTCGCACCACACTGGGAGAAACTCACACTTCTTCCAAGTTTCACTCTGACCAATCACCTGCAGGCGAACCTTCAGAAAGGCTGGTTCCAATGGAACCACTGACCAATTTCAGATCTGATGATATGTCAAAGCTCCCCTGACTCGACCGATTTCCAGATGATGGTTTCACTGCCGAACCTTCTCTGTGTTGAGCAATGCTGTGAAGGGACTGGATGTCTTCCCACAGTTGTGCAGTTGTTTCTTTGGTGATGGTCAGGATCTATCTGAGATGTCTGTATTCTCTGGTGTTGTACAGTGCAATCCTTCTGTAAAACAGGGAAAGGAAACTTTGATGCCTGTAATTCTTACTCCTCAACTGATTAAGTGAACTCCTCAGTGTTTTTTTGTTTATATTTGCACAGCCAACATTTACTGCCCATTCCTAATTGCATTGAGAAGGGTGTAGTGATCCACCTTCTTGAAATGCTGAAGTCAATGTGGATTATGTCTGCCTTTCATGCTGCTGAGGTGCTGGGGTAGGAAGTGGGTTAGGGCTGTTCAAGGATATTGACCCAGTGACAATGAAGCAATACTAATATAGTCCTAATTCAAGATAGTGAATGACTTGAGGGGAACCTCAAAGTGGTGATGTCCCATGTATCTTTTGCCCTCATCCTTCTAGAGTTGGTGGCTGTGGATTTATAAGTTGCTTTCAAAGCAGTATTGGTGGTCTGCTGCAGTGTGTCTTGCAGATCGGTCACATTGCTGCCAGTGTTTTGAGGGCGGAGAAAGTTGATGTTTAAGGTTTTGAGAAGGGGTGTCAAACTTTCTCTTCAATTAAAGACTGTTCCACAATCTGCTATTCCCCTGTGAGACAGTATCAGATGCAATTTCTTTATTTTTCCTCACTTGAATGTTCCTGTTTCCTGCGGGGATACTGGATAGTGATCAGGAGGAGACAATGTGGCAACTTTCTTGCCTCCATCAAGACATTCATCTTCCCAGGCACCATGAGGCCCATGGTTAGAATTGGGTAGAACATAAATCGGGCAGCCAAATCACCATGAGATCGTGGCAGGTTGGTGAAAACCTGGTTTATCCTTAGAGTAAGCATTCAACGTTTCAAAAATCAAAGAGATATGTTTATTCAATGGAGACTTTAAAATTTCTCCACTTGTTTTCCTAAGCTATTTGAAGAAAGCATACTGAGCAGAAAGAAGTGCTAGAAGCTGAGGAAAATACTGCTTTGGTGTGGCTGCTAAAGGGTTTATCCTGGGAAATTAGATACACTGCACTCACTTAGACTGCAAATCCCAAGTTCAGCTATCAGCCACAGCAACTGGGCAAAACTGTCAAAAACCTTTTGGAAAGGCTGAGGCCTTCAGGTAATGTCTTTTAAAATGGCATTTGATGGTCCTGTGCCTTTCAGAGAGATCTGTTCGGCGCTGTTTCTCTTGCAGAGGGGATTGTCGCAGTGGTACTGGAATGTCTCCTTCAGGCAGACAATTGGTAAACAGAGTTCTCCCTGGGTGTTTTGTTTTAAAATGAGTCAAAAGAATCATGAGTGAGCAGGATCAGGACTCACATAGACCCAGGGAGGATTTTAATTTTGCCTTCTGCAAACTGCTGAGCTAAAAACTTGAGTTCTCTGCTGCTAGAGTCTTAGACAGCGAAGCTTCCTCCGAAAAATCAAAATGTCCATAGAATTACAGTGAGAAACGGGTTATTTGTCCAAATGGTCCATTTAGTGTTTATGCTTCAATTGAACCTCCACTCACCCCAATTCCTCTCAGCCTATCAGCATATCTTTCTGTTCCTTTCTCCCTCATCTGTTTATCTAGTTTCCCTTTCAAGACATCTCTGCTGTTCACCTCAACCACTCCATGTTGTGAATGTGAATTTAATTCATTTTGGAATTTGTGAAATAGAATCAAAGTAAAAACATGAAAACATTCAGCTTGGGATAAAAATCTGACTATTATCCCTCAGGGAAGAGAACCCATTACAAATGTCTGGTCTGTTCTGTATGTGACTCCAGTCTCACAACATGATTGACACCAAACTGCCTTCTGAAGTGGCGAGCAAAAAATGATAACCAATCACATCAAAGTTTATTAGTAAGAGAAAACTTGGAGATAGCGGGACAATCCTGACATTGTGTCAGAATAAGATGAAGGTGATCTCAGTATAGATTTTGCTGGGAAGTTTCTCTTAACAAGGTCTGAGGACAAGTCTCCAAGTGAGGAGAGCTGCCCCTCGTTCTGGTCAAGTAGAAGTGATACTCACCAAATCATATCAATCTGGAAATATCCCACAGTCCTCCATCACCATCCCTGGGAATCCCATTAGCAGGTGGGGAAGTACTCAATATTGACTCCATTGACTCTCACTGGTTAAGGTCAAACAAGTTCTAGGCAACTACCATTTCCCTCCCAACTGATCAATGAGTAATCTATCATCACGAGGGAAACAGACATATAGGGAATAGGGAAATGGACAGATCCCAAAACTGGGTGTCCATGAGGTACAGTGAGCCATCAGCAGCAGCAGGATTGTATTCCACCAAAATCTCAACAGCCCTCATTCCATGGTTATCATCAAACCAGTGGATAGACATGTCAGAAGCAACACTGAGGATACTTTAGAGTCCAGGTTTGAACCTAACAAATGTACTACAGAAACATATATGTGAGCTAAACGCCAAGAGCAGCATAAGAACATAAGAACTAGGAGCAGGAGTAGGCCATCTGGCCCCTCAAGCCTGCCCCACCATTTAATAAGATCATGGCTGATCTTTTTGAGACTCAGCTCCACTTACCCACCCACTCACCATAACCCTTAATTCCTTTAGTGTTCAAAAATTTATCTAGCCTTGCCTTAAAAACTTTCAGCAAGGTAGCTTCAACTGCTTCACTGGGCAGGGAATTCCACAGATCCACAACCCTTTGGGTGAAGAAGTTCCTCCTGACCTCAGTCCTACATCTGCTTCCCTTTATTTTGAGGCGATGCCCTCTAGTCCTAGTTTCACCTGCTAGCGGAGACAACCTCCCTGCCTCCACCTTATCTATTCCCTTCATAATCTTATATGTTTCTATAAGATCTCCCCTCATTCTGCTGAATTCCAATGAGTATAATCCCAGTCTACTCAGTCTCTCCTCATAATCAGCATGGTGGCACAGTAGTTAGCACTGCTGCCTCACAGTGCCAGGGACCCGGGTTCGATTCCAGCCTTGGGTGACTGTCTGTGTGGAGTTTGCACATTCTCCCTGTGTCTGCATGGGTTTGCTCCGGTTTCCTCCCACAGTCCAAAGATGTGCAGGTTAGGTGGATTGGCCATGCTAAATTGCCTGTAGTGTTCAGGGAGGTGTAGATTAAGTGGGTTATAGGGGGATGGGTCTGGGTAGGATGCTCTGAGGTTTGGTGTGGACTTGTTGGGCTGAAGGGCCTGTTTCCACACTGTAGGGATTCTATAATCCAACCCTCTCAACTCTGGAATCAACCAAGTGAATCTCCTCTGCACCCCCTCCAGTGCTAGTATATCTCTTCTCAAGTAAGGAGACCAAAACTGCACACAGTACTCCAGGTGTGGCCTCACCAGGACCCTATACAGCTGCAGCATAGCCTCCCTGTTTTTAAACTCCATCCCTCTAGCAATGGCAGACAAAATTCCATTTGCCTTTTTAATTACCTGCTGCACCTGCAATCCTACTTTTAGCGATTCATGCACAAGGACACTCAAGTCCCTCTGCACAGCAGCGGGCTGCGATTTTTTACCATTTAAAACATAGTCCATTTTCCTGTTATTCCTACCAAAATGGATGACCTCACACTTATCAACATTGTACTCCATCTGCCAGACCTTTGCCCACTCACTTAGACTATCTATATCCCTCTGCAGACTTTCAGTGTCTTCTGCACACTTGGCTCTACCACTCACCTTCGTGTCATCTGCAAATTTTGACACACCACACTTAGTCCCCAACTCCAAATCATCTATGTAAATTGTAAACAATTGCGGTCCCAACACTGATCCCTGAGGCACATCACTAGCCACTGACCGCCAACCAGAAAAACACCCATTTACCCCTACTCCTTGCTTCCTACTGGTCAACCAATCCTCTGTCCATGCCAATACATTACCTGTAATATCGTGGAACTTTATCTTATGTAGCAGCCTTTGGTGTGGCACCTTGTCAAATGCTTTCTGGAAATCCAGATACACCACATCCACAGGTTCCCCATTGTCCACCATGCAAGTAATGTCCTCAAAGAATTCACCAAATTAGTTAAACATGACCTACCCTTCATGAACCCATGCTGGGTGTTTCCAATGGGATAATTTATATCTAGATGTCTTGTTATTTCTTCCTTAATGGTAGATTCAAGCATTTTCCCCACTACCAAAGTTAAGCTAACTGGCCTATAGTTACCTGCTTTTTGTCTACTTCCTTTTTTAAACAGTGGCGTCACATTGGCTGTTTTCCAATCTGCGGGAACCACCCCAGAGTCCAGTGAATTTTGGTAAATAATTACTAGTGCATTTGCTATTTCCCCCATCACCTCTTTCAGTACCCTGGGATGCATTTCATCAGGGCCAGGAGACTTGTCTAACTTTAGCCCCATTAGCTTGCCCAGCACTGCCTCCTTAGTGATAATGATAGTTTCTAGGTCCTCGCCTGCTATAACCTTCTTGCCATTAGTTTTCGGCATGTTATTTGTGTCTTCTACTGTGAAGACCAACACGAAATAACTGTTTAATGTCTCGGCTATTTCCTCATTCCCAGTTATTAAATTGGCTTTCTCATCCTCTGAAGGACCAATGTTTACCTTCGCCACTCTTTTACGATTTACATATTTATAGAAACTTTTGCTGCCTGTTTTTATATTCTGAGCTAGTTTACTCTCATAATCTATCTTACTTTTCTTTATAACTTTTTTTGTGGCTTTCTGTTGGCCTTTAAAGATTTCCCAGTCTACTAGTTTCCCACTACTCTTTGCTTTTTTTGTATGTTTTTTTTTCAATCTGATACTTTCCTTTATTTCGTTAGACATCCATGACTGGCTCTCTCTTTTCCTACAGCTCTTCCTTATCACTGGAATATACTTCTGCTGAGCACTGTGAAAAATCATTTTGAAAGTCCTCCACTGTTCCTCAATTGACCCACCATAAAGTTTTTGCTCCCACTCTACCTTAGCTAACTCCTCCCTCATTCCTTCATAGTCTCCTTTGCTTAAGCACAGGACATAGGTACTGGATTTAACCTTCTCACGCTCCATCTGTATTTTAAATTCGATCATACTGTGATTGCTCCTTCCAAGAGGATCCCTAACTGTGAGATCATTAATTATTCCTGTCTCATTACACAGGACTAGATCTAGGATAGCTTGCTCCCTCGTAGGTTCCATTACATATTGTTCGAGGAAATTATCGCGGATGCATTCTATGAACCCCTCCTCAAGGCTGCCATGACCGACCTGGTTTGACCAATCGATATGTAGATTAAAATCCCCCATGATAATTGCTGTACCATTTTTACATGCATTAGCTATTTCTATGTTTATTGCCTGCCCCACCACGATGTCATTATTTGGTGGCCTATAGACCACACCTAGCAGTGACTTCTTCTCCCTGCTATTCCTAATTTCCACCCAAATGGATTCAATGTTTTGTTCAGTCGAACCTATATCATCTCTCAGTACCGCCCTGATATCATCCTTAAAAATCAGAGCAACACCACCTCCCTTACCTTCCTGTCTGTCCTTCCGAACAGTTTGATACCCCTGGATATTTAACTCCCAGTCATGACCATCCTGTAACCATGTCTCTGTAATGGCCACTAAATCATACCCATTTGCCATGATTTGCGCCATCAACTCATCCACCTTGTTTCAAAAGCTCCGAGCATTCAGATAAAGTGCCCTTATGCCAGTTTTTGCACCTTCTTTTTGGGTCCTATTACCTCCATTACTAACAGCTCTTGAGTTCTTCCCTTTAACTTTTTTCCTAATTTTCAATGGAGTTGAAGCTTCCTCGTCACCTGCTAATCTGCTGCTTTGCCTTACATTAATTGTTATTCTCCCTCTACGCTCACTACTCCCTTCCCCCCTACTTACTAGTTTAAAGTCCTATTAACCACCCTATTTACCCTTTCGGTCAGAACACTGGACTCGTCCCTGTTCAGGTGGAGTCCATCCCAGCGATATAGATCCCTCCTGTCCCAGAACTGATGCCAGTGCCCCATGAAAAGGAAACCCTCTTTCCCACACCACTCTTTTAGCCACGTGTTTACTTCCCTGATCCTCGCCTCCCTAAGCCAATTTGCACGTGGCTCGGGCAGCAATCCAGAGATTATGACCCTTGAAGACCTGTTTTTTAATTTTGTTCCTAGCTTTTCATAATCCCAAAACAGGTCTTTTTTCCTAGTCCTGCCTATGTTGTTGGTACCTACGTGGACCACAACAACTGGATCCTCCCCCTCCCTCTCTAGTATCCTCTCAAGCCGGTCAGAGGTGTCTCGCACCCTGGTACCGGGCAGGCAACACACCATGCGGGATTCTCTATCCTGCTCGCAAAGGATACTGCCTATCCTCCTGATGATGGAATCCCCTAACACTACAATCTGTCTTTTTGCTCCCCTCTCTTGAATGGCGTCCTGGACCATGGTGCCATGGTCAGTTGACTCATCCTTCCTGCAGTCCTGTTCCTCATCCACGCAGGGAGCCAGTGCCTCATACCTGTGGGACAATGTCAAGGGCTGCGGCTCCTGTGTTCCTGTCTGCAGGGTCCCTCTACCTGCCTCACTTGCAGTCACACACTGCCGTCCCTGCCCGCCGATCGAATTAACATTAGTTAATCTACCAGGTGTGACTACCTCCTGGAACACACCATCCAGGTATTTCTCCCCCTCCCGGATGTGCCGCAGTGTTTGGACTTCGGATTCCAGCTCACTCCAGTTAATTCCCAAACTTATTGGGTGGAAGCTTACCTTCCCAGGCTGCCCTCGCGCTTTCTCCCGGACTCCCGCCACTGAAACAACTGAAAGGCCGCAGGTAATAAATACAGCAAAACAACCCCACAGGAACAGAACTGAGCAAAGCTACCAGTCTTGCCACATCTTGTTGAGAATTGTTGAGAGTTGAATAACAGGAGAAGGTGATCCCATGAGCAATTTCACTCATAGTCATGTTGGAGCCCAGCAAACGGGAATGAGATAAAATGTGAAAATCTCTTCCAGCAAAATATTAGAAGGATAATCAAACCCCAGCTTCCTCCTGAGGTGCTGGGAGAACCTATCACGTAGAACACACCAATTCTTGAGAAGGCCCAAGTCAGAAATGTTTTGTAAAAGTGACATTTATAAAATTATTTTAAATCATACTACTGCCTGAACAATAAACAGAGTATCTTGTACTAATCGGGTGTTGGGTGTTGTAGAAATCTGTTAGGCATCAGGTCCAGTGGTTTGGTTATCATGGGGATCATTTGGGACTTGCTCAGCAAGATGCAAAACTGTTGTAAAACAAAGAATTGTGGATGCTCGAGATCTGAAACAAAAACAAATTGCTAAAGAAACTCAGTAGCTCTGGCAGCATCTGCAATTGGAAACAGTTTTAACATTTTGAGTCCAGAGATACTTCTGTAATTGGTCCATTATTTGCCTAGTAGGTATGTTTGTTGGTTTGTTAGAGTAAACGTCTTGTAAAATCTTGTCGGGTAATCCTTAACATTGTTCAAAGGGAATTTAAATCTCTTTAGAAGTTAGCAATCTCGTTGGGATTATAACAATTCCTCAGTCAACACCATTAATGAGCAGATTATCGGTCCTTATCACAGCATTTGAGGCAGCTTGAGGTGCACACACTGGCTACTACGTTTCTAACATTACAACAGCACTTTTGGATATCTGGTGGTTGTGAATGCCTATATATAAATCCAAAACTTTCTGTGTTACCTTTTCTGAGGAGATTACAGAGTGACGGCGGTGGGAGATTTTGGAAGGATTTGAAAAGACAGGCAACATCCAGATCCCAAAACACAGAGAGAACCTACCATTCGCTGTCCAAAAAATAATAACCAGCTCCTAATACACTCAGAACTCAACAACAGGAAATCAGTAAGAATCTTCAGACACTCTGCACCTCCCAAATAATTACACCTTGCCTTCTCGTGTTCAGGAATAAACCATCAACAAAACTCAGCCTGGAAATCAGAAGGGAAATGCTTCCAATAAACACACTCAATATCCAACACACAGCTCCAGTCAAACAGTTCAGCACAAAGCACCGAGTAAACAGCTCTCTCAGCTGGATCTTCTCACACAGCATAAGGGACATTTCCACCCCTGATTACCCACAGGATAGTCAGACTGCCTGAAGATTGGTGTGGATATTATGGGATACAATTTGTATAAAACTTGTTCCTTCACTCACCATCTTCTCACTTGGTTTTTAGTCCCTATAGGAAGTGAACCAGCTCTGGAAGAGGAAGAGGAGAGAATGGGCAGAGTGGGTGGGCTATCTGATGGATGTCTCTCACAGTCAATCCAAATATTTCTGCAGCAACGAGTCTCCTGAAGCGTGGGAAACTGGTGAAGCTGATGAGAGAGAGACAAAGCAGAGGCAGGAGGAGAAGAAACATATACAAAAATAGACAGAAAGGCAGGTTGCGAAAGAATTACAGTTTACAAAGAGATATGGATAGGTTCAGTAAGTGGGCAAAGGTTGGCAAATGAGACATAATGTGACAAAATGAGAAGTTGTTCATTTTGGAGGGGAGAATAAAAGAACAGAGTATTATTTAAATGGAGGAAAACTGCAGAAATCTGCAACACAAAGGGAGTTGAAAAATGAACACAGAGAGCTAGAATTCTGGTACAGCAGGTAATTAGGGAGCCTAATGGAATGTTAGCCCTTATTTCAAGAGAGTTAGAGTATAAAGATAGGAAAATCTCACTGCAACTTTACAATGTGCTGGTGAGACCACAGCTGGACTACTGTGAGCAGTTTTGTCCCCTTTATTTAAGAAAATATATTATTTCATTGCAGGTAGTTCAGAGAAGGTTCACTCGGATGATCCTTGGTATGGGGGAATTATTTTATGGGAAAAGTTAAACAGATTGGGACTCATTGTAATTTAGAAGAATGAGAGGTGATCTCATTGAAACATACAGGCATCTTGAAAGGCTTAACATGGTAAATACTAAGAGAATGTTTTCCCTTATGGAAGAGTCTAGTATCAGAGTGCATCATCTCAGATTAAACAAGCACCAATTTACGACTGAGATGGAGAGGAATTTCTTCTCGAAGAGGGTTATATGTCTTTAGAACTCCTTGCTACAGAGTGCTGTGGAGGCAGAGTCCTTGTGTATATTTAAGGCAAAGATGGATTCTTGATCAGTCGGGAAATCAAAGGTTACAGTCAAATCAGCCATGATCCTATAGAATGGCGGAGCAGGATCAACAGGCCAAATGGCCTACTGCTGTTCTGATTTCTTATGGTTTTAGAGAAGAGACTGAGGAATGCTGTAGACCTAATACTTACAGAGCTTTTCCGTGACTCCTGATGCAGTGTTTCCAATCAAAGGTTACCTCATGATTACATCATGAGGCAGGAGATCTAAAGGTGTTGATATGAAATAAAATGCCATATCGATTTGAGAGGAAGAGTAACACTCAACTCTGGTTAGATGTGCCAATCAAAACACCATTCAAGATGTCCAGCATATCTTCAATGCAATCAAAACACCATTCAAGATGTCCAGCATATCTTCAATGCAACACCTTCCTCCACTGAAGCTAGAAGATGTCTCTTCCACAGCAAGTTCCCATTCAGTTCATGTCTGAGGTCTTTGTTGCATTCCAATGAGAAAGGATGAAGTTTAAACCTTGGATGCATTGCTCCGGACAGTGAGAGGACACAATAAGATTATGTGATGGACAATGAGAGCCATAACATTTTATTGAGTACTAAATTGAGGATGTTCTTTAGTGCTTTTCAGCAGCCTATAGGGCATCAGTGTCAATGGTACAAAGCAGTGCTGGCAAATCCTCTTGTGAATCTTGTTCAATAGAACTGAGTTGTGTGAAGTCACTTTTCTGTAATTCTTCTGATGCTGCAGAGGACAGTATCTCCTGAGTAATCTGTAGATTGTAACGTTAAATTTGCTGTGTCAGCTGAAATTAGAAAACATATCTGAGCCTGCTATTATGAAAGGTCAATCTGTTGGATGGCACATAGTCATTAGAAGGTCACTAGACATTGTCCTAGTGTATTTTTTAAACAGATAACTGTGTTTCAATTAAGTGTTGCAACTGAGTCGCTGGTGAACTGAACAAGTAATGTCAGAACAAATTACTGCAGATGTTGGAACCTGTACTGAAAATAATAAATGTTGGAGATCACAGCGGGTCAGACAGCATCCATGGAGACAGAACAAGTTAACGTTTCGAGTCTAGATGACTGTTCATCAGAGCTCAAGTGTGTTTGGAGGGGACAGCATTTATGCTATAGTTTGGGTGGGGGGGCAAGAGGTAGTGGATGCAGAGTGCTGGTGGAGAAAAAATGTTGACAGTTCAGATTAAGTGATTGGAATGTGAGAACAGCAGAACAATGTTGTGTCTCCTGCCAGACTTGAAAGGATGGTAAGTGAGATGCGGGGAGGACATGATAACAAGCTGAAAGGACATGATAACAAGCTGAAAGAAAAGGAAGAAATGTTCACAGTTTAAAGCTGTTGAACTGAATATTAAGTCCAGAAGGCTGTAAAGTGCCTGGTCTGATGAAGAGATGTTCCTCCAGTTTGCTCTGTGATTCACTAGAACACTGCAGCATGCTGAGGACATACACGGGGGCATGCAAGCAGGATGCCGTGTTAAAATGACCAGCTATGGGAATGTCAGGGTAATGCTTGCTCACAGACTGGAGGTGTTCCACAAAGCGGTCACACCTCCTTCCTGCATCCAAGGGCCTAAACAGTCTTTCCAGATGAAGCAGCATTTCATCTGTACCTCCTCCAATCTTGTGTATTGTATTTGTTGCACCCAATTGTACATTGGAGAAATGAAACGCAGACTGGTCACCACTTTGCAGAATACCTCCAGTCTGTGCACAAGCATGACCCTGACCTTCCTGTAGCTGGTCATTTTAACACAGTATCCTGCTTGCATGCCCACGTGCCTGTCCTAGGCATGCTACAGTGTTCCAGTGAATCATAGAGCAAACAGGTGGAACAACATCTCCTAGCTTTCATGCTCCTCTGATGCTGCCTGGCCTGCTGTGTTCATCCAGCTCTACACCTTGTTATCTCCTCTTCAGACTAGGCACTTTACAGCCTTCTCAATTTAAGAACACCTTTAAATTGTGAACATTTCTTCCTTTTCTTTTAGCTTGTTATCATGTCCTCCCCTTCCCCCATCCCACTTACTATCCTTTCAAGTCTGGCAGGAGACACACCACTGTTCTGCCACTCTCACATTCCGATCACTTAATCTAAACTATCAACATTTTATCTCACTCAGCACCCCTTCTGAGGAAGGGTCCCGACCAAAGCGTCAGCTTTCCTGCTCCTCTGATGCTGCCTGGCCTGCTGTGTTCCTCCAGCTCCACACTGTTATCTCAGACTCCAGCATCGGCAGTTCTTACTAACAGTTCTTACACTCACTAACCTTCCCCCCCTCCCCACAACCAAACTATAGCATAAATACTGTCCCCACCATGCGTCACTTCAGCTCTGATGAAGAGTCTAGACTTTAAACGTTAGCTTGCTCTCTCCCCATGGATGCTGTCTGACCCACTGTGATCTCCAGCATTTGTTAGTTTCTAGTAACATGGTATGTGTGGGACAACTCACGTTAAAATCAAACAGTGCAGTAGAAGACCCTTCCTGAATGATCCTGATCCGAAATGTCAACTTTCCTGCTCCTCTGATGCTGCCTGGCCTGCTGTATTCCTCCAGCTCCACACTGTGTTATCTATAACAGTGCAGTAGATGTGGGTTGACAATTTGTCAGAAAAAAAGACCAAAGTTAAGGAAAGTATGAATTAGAATGGGAGAAGTGGTGTAGTGGGTTAGGATGTGAAAGTGAGCAGTGTACTGTGCAACCCAGTGTACCTTGCTCCTGAATGGCATGGAGCCAAAGGTCAAACCACTCAATGAACCAAGGCTGACAGGAAATGTGGATTCTGAGAATGAGGCTCATCTCTATACTGGAGAAGGAGTATGGGACAATTAGGGTGATGTGCAAATAGGCATACACCCAGAGGGTGTGGATGGCTCAAGCTTGGTGGTGAAAGGGGAAATAAAAACCGGGTGTGGTATTTATGAACCGGACAGAGCAGCCCTGAAGCTGCCCTCAACTCTGAATGCCCAGAAGGCTGATCTGGCAGCAATAGCCCTTGCGTTCACTACACTCACAGGAATTTCCCATGCCCTGTCCAATCTGCTCTGACTCTATGTTCATGTACCTGGTGTCTGGCTATATGGGGCTGGGGAGAGTTCACCTCAGCTGAGGGGAAAGCCCTCACAAATGGATACTTTGAATGATTTTGGAAATGATCAACAAGAACCTTAAGTAAAAGCTCACACATAAGCTGAAGTCTGGTGGGAGGGCAATAATAGAGCTGATGGATTGGCCAGAGAGGAGCTGACAGGGGTAATCCATGGGACCCCAGTGATTCAGGGACAGTGGCAGCCATAACGAGTGAGGAAGGAGCAATGTCCATGTCCTTCCCCGGAGCCTGATAGAGGTCCAGCACAAAAACCCAGTTTTAAAAGCTATCGTTGAGGGAAAACAGGGAGAGAAATGATTTGAAAGGACCCTGGCAGCCTAGTGATATAGCACTGAAGAAAAGTGTGTTATTCAAGGGGAACAAGAGGCTGGTGCCTGAGGGTTACCAACAAGATTTCATGTACTCAGCCCATGGAGGCCCCAGTGCAGGATGTCCAGGAAGTGAGGGAACCTGGGATTGTATTAGACAGGTGGTATGGGGCTTGGGAATGTGGATGTGGAGGCCCATGTGAAAGGATATTTGGACTGTCTCCAGAATAACACAGAACAGGAAAGTTGTGTTGGGAGTTACCAGACAGCTGGAGGGTCCGTGTTGGTCTATACAGATCAACTTTATTGGTCCGCTGTCTGTGACTTAAAGAGGGAACAAGTATCACCTGCTTCTGGGAGATAATCTCACAAAATGCCTGGGGGGGTTTCCCCCGGTAGGTTAGACTCAGCTGTGTGGATCCTGGTAAAGGAAATGTTTTCAAGTGGGATTCGCCTGAAGTAATGGAATGGGATCAGGGAAGTTATTTTACAGGACAGGTGATGCAAACCACCTTAAAGCTGTTGGGGACAGAGGGTAAATGGCATGTATCCCATATAGTGCTAATTTTTTGGGAATAGTGGAGCACGTGAACAAGGACCATTACAATGATCCTGCAGAACAAACTTGTGGGTCAACCTTAGAAATAGGCTGAGG